GCCTGCCACAGTGCCCAGCTATTTTTTAGAGATGGGATCTCTCTCTTGCTCGGGCTGGTCTCGAATTCCTGAGCTCAGGCAATCCACCCACCTCGGCCTCTCAGAGTCAGGCATGAGGCATGGCGCCCAGCATTTGGGACTCTTGATAAAACATGACACAAATTTCAGTTATCCATACTCACCGAGTTTCCCTCCCTCCCTCTGCAGTAAGGATGCCGTGTCCCAAGGTAGAGTGAGCAGTCCCAGCGCTGTCAGAATATCCTTCTGGCTTTATTTTCTTTTCCCTCTCTGTACTCCAGAGAGGGCAGAGGAGAGGGCAGGGAACTTCCGCATGTCCTTGGAACAGGCCTGGGAAGGTATTCTTATCCTTCCTACGGGTAAAATGGCACCAAGGGTCCCCATCGGTTCAAGATGGGGACTTTGACTATACTGTGATGAGGACAGAAGCAGCCAGGCAGTAGTAAGTAGCCTTTGCCCTCCTCAGCAGCAGGTTGTCGCTCAGGCTCCAGAAGGCAGGGAAAGTCGGCGCTCTGGTGGACGCGGTTGGGATCATGCTGGGCCATGTACAGGTGATGGGAAGCTGGGTATGTGAAATGGCAGGTGCTGGTGAACTTGCTCTCATTCTCCTCAGTGGCCCCACGGTCCTGTGATGGGAAGAAGCCAGGGAGTCCTAGGTCTTTGGCAGTCATGTGGGGTCTTCTGAAGGCAAGGTACCCATCCGCTAGCTTAGGGTTAGGGTTGGGGATAGGTCTATGAAACTCTTTCTGCCGCAGTTGAGCCTGGAGCTTCACCTGCTGTGGAAACAAATTACACATGAATGGAGGGCTGGGAGAGATAGGAGATGGAGTAGCTTTTCCTGGAAGTATCCAGAGCACACCTCTCTTTATTTTTTAAAACTTTAAATTAGTCTTTGAGTGGTAATATATACAACAGAGGGAAATATTGGTGTCATACAAAGGGTTTATAGTAAAAAGTCTCTTTCCTACTCTCCTCCTCTCTGGAATCCTATCTCCAGGGGCAACTACTGTTATCAGTGTTTTGTTTTGTTTGTTTTGCTTTGTTTTGAGGCAGAAACTTGCTTTGATGCCCTGTTAGAGTACCATGACATCACAGCTCACAGCAACTTCAAACTCTCGGGTTCAAGAGATCCTCTTACCTCAGCCTCCCAACTAGCTGGGATTACAGGAGCCCACCACAACACCTGGCTATTTTTAGAGATGGGGTCTTATTCTTGTTCAGGCTGGTCTCAAACTAATGAGCTCAGGCAATTTCCCCCACCTGGGTCTCCCACAGTGCTAGGATTACAGGCATGAGCCACCATGCCCAGCCAGACTCCATCTCTTAAATAAAAGAACATAAACATCATTTCACATCTCCATAAACAAATGGGAAGATGCCCAACCTTATTAGTAGTCAGTGAAATGAAAATAGGAACACGAGAGAAGATGATTTTATACCATCTGATAAAAATTAAAAATTTTTTTAATTAAAAAAATTTTAATTAAAAATAAAAAAAATTTTAATTAAAATTAAAAAAATTTTTAATTAAAAATTTAAAAATTAAAACATTTGGCCAGGCACAGTAATCCCAGCAATCTGGGAGGCCAAGGCAGGTGGATTGCTTGAGCTCAGGAGTTCAAGACTAGCTGGAGCAAGAGTGAGACCCCCATCTCTACTAGCTAGGTGTTTGGTGGGCACCTGTAGTCCTAGCTACTGAGTAAGCTGAGGCAAAAATATTGCTCAACCCCAAGAATTTGAGATTTTATAAGCTGTGACCCCATGGCACTCTACCCAGGGTGACAGAATGAAACTGTATCTCAAAAAGAAAAAAATAGGGCAGCGCCTGTGGCTCAGTGAGTAGGGCATCGGACCCATATGCCAAGGGTGGTGGTTTTGAACCTAGCCCTGGCCAAACTGCAACAAAAAATAGCCGGGCATTGTGGCGGGCACCTGTAGTCCCAGCTACTCAGGAGGCTGAGGCAAGAGAATCACCTAAGTCTAAGAGCTGGAGTTTGCTGTGAGCTGTGACGCCCCAGCACTCTACCGAGGATGACAAAGTGAGACTCTGTCTCTAAAGAAAAAAAAGAAAGAAAGAAAAAGATAGGAAATAAACATCTAAACTATAAATAATCACTAAGAACAGAGATCAAGTTTTT